TGTGTAGCTTTTGTAAACAAACAAACAAGAATATTAGGAAAGATGTTCCATAGGCGAATGGCGATCTATGATTGTTCAATATATATGTATATTTATTTTTTGATTTACGATTACTTGGACTGATGCAGAATTTAGGTCTATTCATTACTCTCTTAGTTTAATTTTTTACATCAAACTAGACTTGCTTTATCCCTTAGTATCACAACTGCTATTTTGAACCGAACTCGGAAGATGTTAAACTTAGTGCTTGAAACACACGCAGGTGCAGGTTTTTAAGTTCAAGAACAAAAATAAAAATAAAAGATTGTTCTGAGATTTAAAGGAGTCTCCTTGATGTACCCTTGGGTATCTATGTTTAGAAAATCACATTACCAACAAAGATATTAGCCAGACTAACTGAATTTTTTTTTCAAACAAACACACAAAAAATTATAAAGGTTCTTATGCATTATAAATACAGATTTACTGATTTGCGCCATACATTCTCTTACAGCAGTATTAGTCTAGTTTTGCTAAACTGTACTATGAATGTTCACAGATAGTACAGTATATCATAACAAGTTTCATACTGCTCTGTGAACATTTATAGTACAGTATATTATAACTAGTTTCATACTGCTAACTAGTTTCATACTGCTCTGTGAACATTTATGATATACTGTACTATAAATATTCACACAGCAATATGAAACTGGTTATGATATACTGTACTATAAATGCTCTCACAGTAGTATCAATCTAATTGTGTTAAACCGTACAATAAAGGTTTTTACACTGGTATCAACCTTGTTGTGATAAACTGCTATGAAGGTTCTCACAGTAGTATCAACCTTGTAATAAACTGTACTATGAAGGTTCTCATAGTGGTATGTACGTAGCAGTCTAAACATAATAATCTAGAATTACATCGTAAAGTTTATCACTCAAGTTATATCTTAATTAGTCATATCTTAATCATGTTTTTTGATCATAAACTCTTTAGATTAATATTAAGAGTGAAGCGATAAATAGATACATATTACAATACATTTTATCTTTTTGTCATATTGTCTAAAGTAACATTTTTTTGTATTTGTGATTGCACGACAGTCTTGATTCTGGTAAATTAAATACAAAAATTTGAACGAAACTTCTGCAAGGCTCCTTTCTTCATTAGACTGATTTATATATATAATGTGGATATACAAACGAAATTATTATTTTATAATTCTTGAATATACTTTAAGGTATTGTTAATTAATTATAGACATAAAACTTTATGCGCATTATATTTTATACCCTTAAATCACACAGATTAGAATCTGGTTACCTGTCTCAAAATAATAATAATTATTGTTTGTTTGTTTTTGAATTTCGCGCAAAGCTACTCGAGGGTCATCTGCGCTAGCCGTCCCTAATTTAGCAGTGTAAGACTAGAGGGAAGACAGCTAGTCATCACCACCCACCGCCAACTCTTGGGCTACTCTTTCACCAATGAATAGTGGGATTGATTGAAACTTAATAACGCCCTGACGGCTGAAAAGGTGGGGTGAGGATTCGAACCCGCAGATTGCAAGTCGAGCGCCCTAACCACCTGGCCATGCCGGGCCAATAATAATTATAAATAGTACTATATATTTTATGTTTTACTAGCATATTTTGTTTCGATTTGTTATAAACTTTTGTTATAATTATTTTATATCAGATAAGGGCAATAGAGTTCAAGAGTACTAACTTATAATGGTTGACTGACCGACCACTTTAAGTCATTTCCGGTCAAAGTGACAGTTCTGTATTCGGTGGTTGAGCTCTTTCCCTGATGTCATGTTCATCAAGCATCATGTTTTATCAAGATTTTCACTCTTACCTATCTCTTTAAGTCTATATTTATTTCTTGAAACTTTGTCTTATTTCCTCTGTAGTTCTTTGTTTACCTTAATATTTCAATCTTAATCATCTTCATTTTAAGTCGTTGACCTCGTTTTTCAGGTTTGGCCAGTTTTTTCTTTATTTCGGCTATCCTCCGTCACTTTCCTTATTGTTCCTCTTTGTTTATCTGCTAGGAATATCTGTCTCTCTAATGTTTTGGATATATACTTTTTTTTTCTGTAACAGAAGTCACGAGTAGACTTAAATAGGTATTTAGTCAGTCAGAAGTTATTCCATTGTGTTTTAAGTTTGTAATTCAGTGCCCTTAACAGATAATAGAACAAGTATAGTTAAATCAAGCCTGGTATGGACTGATGGTTAGGACAATCCAATCGCAAACAGCGAATTGCGTGATCGAAACCCGTTGCCGAAAATTTTCACCCTCTGATCCATTGGAACGTTATAATGTTTCGATATATTCCGCTATTCGTTGGCGGTGGTTAATGTTGACTAACTGCCTTCTTTCTTTAAATTTAGGGACGACTAGCGCAGGTAACTCTCGAGTAGCTTTGCGTGAAATTCAACAAACAAACAAACAATATATAAATCAACCAGATAATTATCAACTGTCTATATTGAATAAAGTAATTTACTTTTGTTACATGCGCAGAACGATTAATTAAATAACCAAATAACAAGGTAAGAAAGTAAACACATAAATTTATACAGAATATCTATCATACATGTGTTCACATAATTTGATCAAGTATATGATTCATATTACAAAAAATAAAAAAATAACATAACATAACAGTGAGGAAATAAATCGTTCTGTGAACAGTAAAATAGACAAAACTGTAGTTGTATTCTTAAAAACAAGATGAATTCTAAAAATTGTCTGTGAACATATTCACACACACGCTTTACTCTCTATCAACTAATGCATGAATCTGAAATATAAATTCTGTCTTAAGTTTTTGAGAGCTGTTATCGAAAAGTCTTTCCGCATTTTAAAGAAACAGAGAAGATGTCTACCTTACCTGATGCTCTACCTGAGATAGTCTATCCCTAGGTGTAAGTGGTTAGTTTACGCTAAAATCCGACGATCGAATCCATGTGGAGGCCAGAGTCTTTACGGCCAGTTTAGTGTGTAGTTTTACGTTAAAACAAACAAGCCAAACGGAATATGCTTCTACACAATTTTTAAGTGTTGATCTATGTCGTTTGTTTAAGGAGTATTTACAGATGGATAATTATTCTAGTAAATATTTGTTAAAGTCGAAAGGATGTTAAACGAGAACTCTATTTTTAGATTAATTTTGAGACACGTGTGATTTGAAAGTAGTGTGAATTAATGTTGAAATGAAACCAGTTTTTAAACATCATTCAACAGCCCAGTACACCATATTATTTACTTACCGGTCTTTCCGCTGTTACCAAATATATTACATTTACTTGATGAACTATCCTATATCTCAGCATGGAATCTAAATTTTGATATATTGTTGTATTGTTTTCAATAACAACAAGAAAATCTAAGAACTAAGTGTATTTTAAAGCTGTTTATGCCAAAGCCTCTATGCAATTTAATATATAGAGAGAGTTTGTTTGTTTGTTTTGAATTTCGCACAAAGCTACACGAGGGCTATCTGCGCTAGCCGTCCCTAATTTAGCAGTGTAAGACTAGAGGGAAGGCAGCTAGTCATCACCACCCACCGCCAACTCTTGGTCTACTCTTTTACCAACGAATAGTGAGATTGACTGTCACATTATAACGACCCCAAAGCTAAAAGGGCGAGCATGTTAGGTGTGACAGGGATTCGAACCCGCAGATTGCGAGTTGAGCGCCCTAACCACCTGGCCATGCCGGGCCTCAGAGAGAGAGAGAGAGGCTGTATTAGAATTCAATAACCTACAAACGGATTTTTGTTTACAAGACATTAGCCAATTACCTCAAAACGTACTTTAAAATTCTGCTTGTCGTTTTGTGTGCTTGAAAAAAACGTGTGAAATGAATTAAATAACTATCGTCAGATTAAAAATCAGATATTGTGTACAGAAATATTTGGTAACTGTAATACCATTGATACGAGACTTCGGGAATAAAATTACGTAAACAAAACTGGTTATGATCGATTGCATCATAATTCGATTCGTTTCAATCTTAAGATTATTTTAAACTGACCAAATAACCTTTTTTTAAATTGTTTACGTAAAATTCAGGGCCATACGCAGAATGTTTGAAGAGTGTGGGGGAGGGGGGTTCTAATTTGTGAGATTAAAAGCCAACACATATTGTGCGAAGCACAATCAGCATGTTAATGCTACGGAGATCTGGAGGGCATATGCTAATGCTTCATCAAAAGAATGTAGACTATGTAGAAAACGTTAAATACCAAAAGCAGCTGCACTATAACTATATAAGCATTTTTTTACATCACCAAAATATGGGGATCGGTCAAATCCCCCCCTCGCATACGTGCGTGCGATTACAAACAGCGAACAATCAATGTAATGCATAATTACTTAAATTGTTATTAAATTTAAGCATTTTTTTTTCACCGAGAAATATGTTAAAATATCACATTAATTTTCTTCTTCAAGTTATGTTTATTTTTTTTTAACTTAGATATGTTCTTACAAAATATATATTTTTGTGTTTGATTGTATCCACTAACTTAAGAATTAGAAGACTCCCTCTGCTTCTGTAGTGTTCCATAACACAGACCATTACTAATTTTGTAAAACAAGCAAATTCGGATTTTCTTACAAAGCTCTCCAGGACCATTCCCAACGTACTTCCAGCAGTCTTAATATAAAATAATAAATGTATTAAGAATTGTCATGACATTCACTCAGTTATTTTGTCATATCTGGTTTAAATATATAGTTTGATATGTACAGGCTATTTAAAAAACTAATATTATGCTTTTAGCTATACGTGAATCTCTTGATTAATAGAAGATAAAATTTCCTGAATATTAAAAATAAAAAGTCGGAATGATATTTCAATAAAAAAGAGAAAAAGCATCATTTACTCTTATTCTTAAGTAAAGTATTTAATTTTCATACAGTTTGGTGTTAAGAACATCACCTTTCGGTGTTGTTTTTATTGTAGTAAAGGTCTTTTTTTATAACTTTCTTGTTTTCAGGACATTTGAGAAGATTTCTGTGTATTGTGAAACTTTCACTGACCTCATACCAGTTTCTTTTGTCCTTGGATTTTATGTCTCAATAGTGGTTGGTCGATGGTGGCAGCAGTATATGTCTATTCCTTGGCCAGACAAGTAAGTTTCTTCAATCAAAGTTTGGCAGCCATTTTGTATTTAAAGACTGTATTTATTTTAGGACTTATGTCTAGATTTTGTTACGGTTTTAATGATATCCCTTTTTTATTTATGCAGGATTTGTATGCTCATATCTGCTTACGTTCACGGTAACGATGAGAGAGGTCGCGTCATTCGCCGTACCCTAGCTCGTTATCTGAATCTTCTGTCTGTTCTCATTTTCCAAGCTATAAGTACCTCCATCAAAAAGAGATTTCCGACATTGGATCATTTAGAAGAAGCGGGTTCGTTCATTGTGTTTTAATAATGATTATTTTTCAAATATGTTTTATATTGATTATTAAACACTATAGCACACATATATCACGTAAGTTGAAGAAATTGTTTTAAACTGTATTGTTTATTTCGTTTCTAAATTAAAGATAGTGAAATAATGCAAGCTTACTTTCATCGAATTTGCTTGGGAATTAAGATATTGTTACGTATCTGGTCGTTTGTTAATTACCGGTATAAAATTATTTCCGAGGAACTTCAGCGATATAAGTCCTTTCTTAATTAAAACTAGTTTATTCTTTCTCGATACAACTTTGTAATATACAGAATTTCCACAGTCACTTTAAACTTAACTACTTTTATAACACACGCTATAAATCACAGTAATTCACACACTTTACTTACGGTGCCTACTGTTCGCTTGACTTAATTATCTCTATCTTCAATCTATCTATATCTCTTCTATTTATCTCTTCGATCTATCTCCGGCTTATATACTAAAAAAAGAGGGCGTCTAGCAAACGTTGGAACATTCATGAGGTTGCCCGATAAGTCACGATCCTTCTAGAAACTCCAGCGCGCATGCTCCCAGCGTCGCGTGACTTCCGCTGTCGTAACAATATTTTTTGGTACAACGTTTTTACATTTCGAATGCGGACTGACTCTCTCGAATACGAACGTTCTATATATTGATGGTAAAAATTCGTCACTTTACAGAAATCTAAATTTTATTTGAGATTAACCATGTCACCA